TTTAATTTTCATAAAAATTTCGCACTCATCAATATTATATTTGCTTTTTTTTTATTTTAATACTATCATATTATTTAAGATTTCGATCTTTAGCAATAGATTTTTTAAAAATTATTTTCCAGTCTCAAGAATAATTTTTGCAAAAATATATTTTATTTATTTTTAAGTAAAAATATGGATAATTAACTTAAAGTATTAATCATTTCCTTTTTAGTGCTAATAAGAATTAACTTAAAAGTATTATTCGCTTAATTATTTTTAATTCTTTATTTATTAAAATTAAGAAATATAAATTTTCAGAAGTCTTAATCTTTTTTTTTTTTTTTCTTATTTTTTTCTTATTACCTTCAAAAAATTTTTCTTGAATCTTAAGCTTATATATTAAGAAAATTCAATTTCTTATAAAATCATAATATTTTTCATAAATCTTTTTTAATAATGTTAATGTTTTTATTCTTTAAAAAAATGCTACTTAGATTTTCATTTATTTTCTGCCGAAAAATAATTTTTTTGAAAATCTATGTATTTGTGTTTTTAAGATTTTTTAAAGTTTTATTTTTCTGTTCATAAAATTATTATGTATCTTAAAAATATAAAAAAAAAATTTATTTTAATTAATCAACTGGTTGTGAATTATATATTCATTATTAGAGGACTGATAATATTATATTGTTGAAAGTAATATCATTTTTTTTAATTTGATTAAAAAAGAAATAAAAATTTAGCATTTTTGTTAATAAATTATATTTTAATTTTTATTATTAATTTTAATTTTATAAGTACAAACAAATTGTTTTTTTTCTATGAAACAAAATTATTTAAAAATCAATGATCTATATTTATTTAATTTTATGATTTATACATGTCTTATTTATGTGTAATAATAAATAGGATTATATATATATATTATATATAGGATTGGTTTAGTTGGGCTTTATTATTTATATATATACGCGTGTGCGCATACACACATACATACATACACAAATAAAATAAAAAAGTTTTACTATTAAAATATGCAATTTGTATAAATAAATATTATAATTCAATTATTTTTATTCTTCAAGTATAATACTTATTCATTTTAGCAGGATTCAATTTTAAATTTAAATGTAATAATAATCTTAATAGTTTATTATAAAATTTTACAAATCAAATTTTATTTTTCATTTTTAACCAATAAAATTCATAACAACAAGATGTAGAATTACATGTGCAAAAATAAAATCTGCAAATCCTCTCTCTGGACTTATTCCATGAAATTGATTTTTGTTTTGGGGATTCACTTGTAGTCGTAAGCAAACTGAAACATAATAAAAAAAAATTAGAAAATATACTTATGATAAATTTTAACATAGATTTTATGAATATAGAAATAGAAAGACTTTTATGAATTAAACTTAATATCTTTATTATAAAAACTAATTAAAGAAAAATATTTCATATATATAATTTCATATTTACTACAATAAAAAATTATATTTCAAATTTTCGTGATATAAATATTTATAAAATATACAAAATAAAAAAAAAAGTAAAACATTAATGATAAAATTTATCATAAATTTATTAAAGAAAAATATTTTAATATATGCAAAATCATATTATAATTTTTTTTTCATATTATAATCTTTTTATTAAAAAAAGATTATAATAAATATAATGATTTCAATCATTTATTAAATTCTTTATAATAAATAATTAATATATAGGATATATAATAAAAAACATGCTAATAGAATGCAATCATATTTATACAATTTCCATATTATAAATTATATTTTATATTAAATATAAATGCTAAATGTACATATATATACATATAAATAAAATTAAAAAATATATATATATAAAATAAAATTATAAAATTAAAGAATACAATCAAAGAAATAAACATAAAGTCAATTTAAAATATTTTTTAAATAGAACTGTAATAAAACTGTTTTTTATTTTAATTAATACAAAATTAGAAAATTACTTACAATATATTTTTTATGATAGTAAAAATAAATATTGAAATTTATAAAAATTATAAAATTAATAGAATAAAATACATAAAAAAAGTATGTGGATTTAAATAGTAATATTACTAATAATACCTCCAAGAACAAAACATGACACACAAGAAATAAATCCACTAAGAAAACTATTAAAAGGGAATGTGCCGACCAGGCAACAATATATGAATTGTATAACACCCGTTAAAAACACATAAAGTAGATAAGCATCTATTATTTTAAGTTTTTTTGGTGTAGTTTTCGTATACTCTTGCCAAAATTTTGCAATAACTGCTAATGCAATCATTTTTTTACAAATTTTTTGATGTTTCGTTTAAGGTTAAACTTCCAGGTTACTATGCGTGGCACCGCTCGTTCTATTAATATGTCGGTATATATCGATACTTTTAATTATCGATAATATATATAATTTTAGAAAATATCGATAGTATCGAATGTTAATATAGAGGTTAGAATACATCAAGTAAACAAGATAAACGTATTAAAAAATATATATTCTTAAAAGATATATAATAAGAGAATGTTATTTATATTAACAAAATGACAGACGAAAAAACACAAACACAAGAATTTAAATTAGATCCAGATTGTGAATTACGATTTGAAGTTGAAACGAAAAATGAAAAAGTTACGTTAGAGGTATGTACAAAATATATTTTATTTGTATTTTACATTATTTTTATATTATTTGCTTTGATTATTTATATATATAATTGCATTACGTATATAATTTCATTTTTACTTATATCTTCATTTCTATTTATTATTATTCATTTCTATTTTCTATAAAGCATTATAATATTTACAATAATTTTTTATAGTTAAAAAGTGGATTAGCAGAAGTTTTTGGTACAGAATTAGTAAAAGGAAAAAAATATGAATTTACAGCTGGTGCAAAAGTAGCTGCATTTACTTGGCAAGGCTGCACAGTAGAATTAGTTGGCAAAACTGATGTAAGTTATGTTGCAAAAGAAACACCAATGGGCCTTTATTTAAATTGTCATGCTGCAATGGAAAGGCTCAGAGAAGCTGCAGAAAAAGAAGACACTAGAGGTCCAATAACAATGATTGTTGGCCCTTGTGATGTAGGAAAATCAACTCTTTGTAGACTTTTATTAAATTATGCAGTTAGAATGGGTCGTAGACCAATTTTTGTAGATTTAGATGTTGGTCAAGGTCATATAGCAATACCAGGTACTGTTGGAGCATTACTTGTTGAACGTCCATCTAATGTAGTTGATGGTTTCAGCCAACAAGCACCTTTAGTCTTTCACTTTGGACATAAATCTCCACAAGCCAATGTTGCTCTTTATAATCTTCTTGTAACACGATTAGCAGAAGTCTGTTCTGATAGATTGCAGGCAAATAAAAAAGCTAGAGTTTCAGGAATTGTAATAAATACTTGTGGTTGGGTAAAAGGAGCTGGATATAAATTATTGACACATGCTGCTCAAGCTTTTGAAGTTGATGCAATTCTAGTACTTGATCAAGAAAGACTCTATAATGAACTTGTTAGAGATATGCCAGACTTTGTTAAAGTTGTATTTTTGCCAAAAAGTGGTGGAGTTGTAGAAAGGAGTCAAACTCAAAGAACAGAAGCCAGAGATCAAAGTGTTAGAGAATATTTTTATGGATCTAGAATGCCACTTTATCCACATAGCTTTGAAGTGAAATGGAATGAGGCTAGATTATATAAAATTGGAGCTCCAGTACTTCCTGCATCTTGTATGCCACTTGGAATGAAAGCAGAAGATAATTTAACAAAATTAGTAGCTGTTACACCTGGACCAAATCTTCTTCATCACTTATTATCTGTTTCATTTGCTGATTCACCAGAAGATGATGTAGTACAAACTAATGTTGCTGGATTTGTTTGTGTGTAAGAATCATCATTAAAATATTTTAATACTATGTAATAATAATTATAAATATTATAAATTATATAATTATAATATATAATTATTAATATAGTTATTATTTAATTAAGAACAATTTTGATATTGAAAATCACTTCTTATTTACAGGACTAATGTTGATGTTGATAGACAAACATTTACAGTTTTGAGTCCACAACCAAGACCTTTACCAAATACAGTTTTATTACTTTCAGATATTCAATTCATGGATAGTCATTAATTTTTTAATAATTTATAAATTTAATAAAATAACTTTTTATTAATATATAAATTTATATTGTTTTTTCCATATCTCTTTCTTTTCTGATGATAGTATTTAATTCAAAANAATATTTCAAATCTTTATTCTTTTAATACTTTATATAAATTGTAATTTATATAAAAAAATGTATTAATATTATATTAATATAAATAAATAAATTTAAATATTTCTTTTAACTTTTTTTTTTATATTTTATATCAATTTAAATTCTTATAAAATTAATATTTTTTTTTATATAATGTTTTCATCAAGTTTGATAGATCGAATATAAAGATGTCAGTAGTGTTTCAAACTTTGAATAATTTATATATAACTTTTACTACTTTATAGAATGAAATAAAACAAACTAATAGATAACTTAATAAATTAATATTTATTAATAATTATTCTTTAATAATTAATAATTAAATCAATCGCACAAAGATGAAAAATATTCAATTTAATATCCTAGATATTTTTCTTTTTGAAAGAAAATTTCACGAAATAATTTATGAAATTCAACGAAATACAGTAAATATTATTTTTATAAATTTTTTAATATAAATAAATATATTATATAGAAAATTCAAATATGAAAATGATACTAAAATAATTTAATCTCTTATAATAAATATAATAATTAAATATTTAATAATACAATTTTTTTAGAAAGAATTAGATAATTTAGAAAAAGAACGTCTTTTGATAAGTGAAGAACTTTGTTCAAAAAATTCTCTTTTACAAAATGAACGAAAAATATCGAATGAATTAAGAATTCGTTTAAAATCAGCGTCAGAAGCAATTAATCGTTTAGAAGAAGAAAAAATGCGTGATAAAATTAATTATTCAAATTTATCAGTAAATTATGAAAATGTGCTTAAAGAATGCGAAATTTTAACAAAAGAAACTTTATTTTCTCAAACAAAAGCTGCAAAATTTCAACTTAAAATTGAAAGTTTGGAGTATATATTACAACGAGAAATTCAACAAAAAGAAAAACTAGAACAAACATTAATAGAATTAAAAAATAATAGTGAAAAGATCATTACTAATATTAATATGTAAGAAAATATAAATTTTTATTAAATTATCTATTTAAATACAATTATATTATATACTGCATAATAAAAATTATTTATTAAAGTAATTTTCAATATTTATATTATCAATTATATAGATAAATTTTTTTTTAATTTAAGAATTATTAATAGAGAATTATTTAATAAAAAATTATTTAATATACTATATAAAATATTTCAGAAATAAATAATCAAACTTTGATGTCGTATTTTATTTTTTAAAAAAAAATTTGCATAATAAAATTTACATTTGAAAATTTTTTTTTTTTTTTAAACAAAAATCTTTTGTTTGTAATAAACTATTTAAGAATATTTAAAATTTACGAATATTTAAAATTTAAGAATATTTTAAAAAATAATTGTTGAAAATAATTTTCTTTTATAATAAGACATGCATTACAATGTTATTTTTTTGCAATTTCTGTTAACTTGTATATATATAAAATAAATTATTTTAATTAAATTATTTTAATGATCAATTGTTTAAATAGAAACCTACTATGATATAAAGTCTTTTAGAATGACTTTTTTTTGCTCAATTATAATATTTATATCTAATAAAAAAAAGTGTTGATTAAAAGTGATAATTATTCCTGTAAAATTTCAAAGTGAATAAAAATATAAAAAAAAATATTTATATCTCAAAAAGAAAAAATTCACGTTTTTGACTTATATATAACTTTTTTCATTTTTAGAAAAGTTTGATCATTTATTTTCTGAAATATTTAAAGTATATGCATGTGCGTGTGCATACTTATGTGTATATATATACATGCACAGAATGTTAATAAAAATATAAAACAAATACTAAAATTTTTTTCATCATTTTAATAGAATTCTTCATAAATATCTCATTTCTATAAACATGCTCTATGCACTAAACATTTTACAATATACAGGATGTTAATATATTCGTAAAACTTTTTTAAAAGATTAAGTCTCAAAATCAAAATAAATACAAAAGTGTACAAAAATATAAATTGTTAATTGTTAAAATATTTATTATTAAATTATAAATAATTATATAATAATTAAATTATAAATTATATAATTATAATTGAAATTTACATAAGATGAAGACGGATGAGTAAGAATATTTTATCTGTCACTGCCTTTCTTTTTCTCTATTTCATTTTATCTAATATAAATATTAATTGTTTATAACTTAATAAACTTTATCTATATATTAACTTTATCTTTTCATATTTTAACTTTTATGTTTGTTTTAGTCTCTAAAAGCATCTTACGAATATATTGACATAATTATATGTGTATATAATAATAAATAATTAATAATAATATTTAGTTATTATCAATTACAATATCATTTTTAAAATATTATATTATTTTTATCAGTTTTTTTATTCTTTCTTTTTCTTTTAGAAATATGGCTAAAATTGAAAAAGAGCAAAAATATCTATTAGAAAGTACCAAAGCTATAATCCAATTAAATAAACGTTTGCAAACTTTTGGTCTATGTTTTCATGCAATTAATCAAAAAAACAAAATCGATATAAAAAATTTACAACATAAACTAATTACTTTTTCTGTTAACAAATTTATGCAATCATCTAATACTAACACAATATATCCGAAAATAGAAAATCTGCATTCTAAAGTACATACATATTATAATTATATTATGTAATCTATATAATCTTTTAATATATAATATATTATATATTATATATATAAATATATTAATTTAAAAAAATTATATTATATCAATTAAGGATATATATATGGATTATTATTGTGTAATTTTTTTTTCATTAATTATTTATTCATATTTCTTTATTTATTACATTATTTATTTTCAGCTAAAAGAAATGTTGATGGAATTAAAATTAAAAATGCAAAATGTTGCATTATATGAAGAAAAATTGAATATTATATTCAATGAATTATCCATAAATTTAACACAAATATAACAATAATTTATGACATTATTTAATCAATAACAAAATAATTTTAATAAATAAATTTAATCAAATTAATGATTATCAACATTTATTTCATTTTAATTTCTTGATACATCTGATAAGTAATAGTTTATTTCAATTTAATAAAATATTTCGAAATAAAATTACATTACTAATTATTATAAAACATGTTAAAAAACTACTAATAATTTTGTATATATAACACCATCTTTATTTTATTTTAAATGCAGTTGAAATTATAAAAAAAGTTTATTCGTTAGTTCGTTGCCATTTTCAATTTGTTTAATTATTAAAATTAAAACTAGAAATTTACGTCGATATCTTGATTTAATAGTTAAGTATAAAAAAAATTTTTCTTAAAAAAGAAATTGTTCATATATGATGTATAGTTTTCTTTTCTTAAATAACATAATTTATATATTAAGTTAAAAAAAGTCATTGCGTTGATATTGAAACTATTGTTACAATGTATGCAAATTCGCGTGAATTACCAGAATCACTCTTCAAAAATTGTTTCAATAAATTATATGAAATTATGTGAATAATTAAACAAATGAAATATTATGATCATGATTATATATATATCAATTATACCATTAATCAAACAAATTTAATTTTTCATCCATGTTCATGATCTGATAATAATCCAATATAACATTTTGAAAATTAATAATTAATAAATTTAATGTACGAAAATTAGATTTTTTAATATTTAGATATATATTTTTTAATTCTATTAACAGCCGAATAATTTGATAATAATTTAATATTTTCAGAAAATTTTTTCATTTTAAGATAACAATAGATTTTGAAATAATATAATAGATTTTGAATAATATAATAGATTGAAATAATATTATGTACATTATATACTGTTTTATAAAAACTTTTTAAATACATATTTTTCTAAATTCATATAGATATGACGAACGATTCATATATATATATATATAGTATTCATAAGAATTTATTTATTTCACTGTTTGTGCAAATATACACGAAAAAATATCCACTAAAATAATAATCTTATATTTTTAGAATAATTCATATATATAGTGTAAATAATCTGTTTACAATATTATAATTATACAAATAAAAATTTATTTCATTATCTATATTTTTTACGTTGCTCATGTTTACAAGTATTCATATGAATTCGTGTCCATTGTAACCATAGTTTAAATCATCGTAATTATAAATAATATCAATAACATTATAAATGGAAATATTACATAACATTATTCGCAATTAATCAATAATATAAGTAAAGAATAAGTAATAATGAAAATAACAATTAAAAATTGTTTCAATATTAGAGGAAAGGCAGGTTATAATAATAAAAATAGACAAATAGGATTAATATAAAATGTATTATAATAATCTTATATTTTAAGTATAAGTGGAAACAGATCGAAATCTCTTTTTTTTGTTCATGAAAAAGCAAAAAAGGAGAACCCTCTGTTTCTTCAGAAAGAAAACTATTACAACAAGCGTTTCAAATAAAGTCCATATTCCATCTTTTTTATTACATTTTTTTATTTTTTTTTATCATTTTCCTTTTTATTATTTCAACAATAGAAAGAAAGAAAAGAATAAAAAGATATGAAAAGAAAATCAAAAGAGTCTTCTTTTCTTGAGTTTTAAATTTGCACTAATTATTAATTAATGAATTAATTAAATGAAGAATTTCTCTTCGTTCCGGTGAAAAAGCTAACTTGTGATGACGTGTATATATATATATAATATATATATATATATATATATATATATATATATATATTTATATATTTATTTATATATTTATATATAAAAAATGACCGCCATTGTTCACCTATTCGCACCTTCTTTCTTTTTGTATTTTTTTCTTTTTGCAAAGTCTTATTAACAAATAACTTCAAAATGCTTCGTAAAAAAGAAAAGATTTCTCATGTGAGAAGAGAAATTTTTTCTTTGCTTTTTTGTTCATTTTCTTTTTTGTTTTTATTTGTTTAAATAAAGCGAATACTAAACATGTATTAAAAAATCGATTGTACCCCTTGATTAAGTGAAACATGGAGGAGAAACTTCGTATGCATAGCATACAAACATAAAATACAAACGCATCTTATGTTTTCCATATCTATGCATTATAACAACGTATTTAATATAATCATACTTAAAATATAACCAAAACTCTTGAGAATAGAGATTTTTAAAATATAAGTTAATTAACATAAAAATAATTCAACGATTTATTATTGCTTTTATAGAGTTCTCAATTTTCAGTTTATCGCAGTTTATTCACAGCAAAACTTGCAACATATATAAATCGTATGTTAAACGAAAACAAAAGTGCACATTACTTAAAATACATAATTCTCGAAATCGATTTACTTTCTAGATTGCTCATTGATTGCGTCTAGGAGGTAAAATCAATCTCCTTCAATACTATATCGATTTTACATGGCGAAAGGTGTTCTAAGATAGCTCGATTAATTGTATCATAATTCCTCTTGGTATTTCGTCATAAAATGTGAGAAGTAGAAATGATGTGATTCATGGTATTGTTCGAGCATCGTTAAAAAATTATCAAAAATTATCACAATTCGCGATTCCTTTCCTTCAAGAAATTCTCTTGAATGTCTTTTTTTTTTTCTTGTTTCTTATAGAAAGAGCGAAGGAAAAGATAGTTTCTCCTCCAGGATAAAAGAGTTCGTATAAGTAATCAGTAAAAAAGAGAGACCGGCAGCGACGGAGGGAAACGAAGCTGGTCGTCAAGGAGTAAAATCACAGAAGTACTCGCGACGTACAGCAAGTAAAGGAGACCGAAGGTAAAAAGTAGAAGGTGACGGTCGAGGATATGCCGGTTGAAGGGTCAAAGTATAGTGCATCGTGCAAGCCAACTTGGTGGTTTCCTTTGTGGCTCGGATGCTTTCAACTGATGTCCTCCTCCCTTCGGCGGATTTGACGCCTCCTATTTTAAAATAATTTCATCATTAAATAATAATTTCGTATATTATATGAATCATTTAAAAAAAATGATTCAATGTTGTTATTTATTTATTTTTTATAGTTTTAATTAGTTAATTAATTAATTTTTTGTTTTGATTCATTATTATACATCAATACTTTAAAATGAATATTACATCATTATTTTTATAAATTTTTATTTATTAATTTGTTCATTAATTTTATGTAACATTGTATTTGTCGCGATTAACATACAGTTTTTCATAGTTTACGGAAATCAAAGTATCTCAATTTGTTAATATTATAAAAAAATCAAATAAAATGTTTTTTCTTCAACAAATAAAATTCTAAAATTTTAATATAAATATATATTTATAATAAATTATTATTATATTATTTAGCAAAATTTCAAAATTAAAATTTAACTGTAAATTCATTAGAAATGCATTTTCATAAAATTATTTTCATTCGTAGAAAAATGTCAATTATTTTTTTAAAAAATATTTAAAATAAAATTTAAAATAAAATTATTAAAAAAAATTCTATATATTATAATTTATAAGAGATTTAGTCAAGAGATTATAAATATAAAATCTTAAATCTTAGATTTTAGTTTAATTCAAATCCTCTCATATTTTTTTTGTTTTTATGAATTATTATTTTTTTAAATTATTTATTTTCTGAATAAACTCAAATTATCAAATATAGTAAATTTAATGTTTTAAAATTTTTACTACATATTATTTATAAAATCAACTTATTGATATCATGAACATTCTCATATTTTAATGATTTTTAAATATATTATAGACAACAAGATTTTGAATAACTTTTATTTTGTACATATAACTGATGTTCTATCTTAATTTAATTGATAAAAAATAGTTGCAAATATTAAATTACTTAAATATTAAATATTAAATATTAAATATTAAATATTAAATATTAAATATTAACTATATTAAATTTTTATATGAATCCATTGTGTATATTTAAAATATTTGTAAAATAAACATGGATGGATGAATATCAATGGATAAATATAATGGATAAGGAATGATTATATTCAAATTTTAATATAGCAATTATTTTTTATAAATATTTTTAAAAACCAATTAATATATATATATATATGTAAGCCAGTTTTACATNATATATATATATATATATATATATATATATATCAGGTATATATATATATATAATCGTTCAAAATTTTATTTTCTAAAAAAAAATTTTAAAAATCCATAAAGATATCAATAAATTCACTATATTAATAAATCTAATATTAATAAGCATTTCTTAAATTCTATTTAATTTTTCATTTAAAATATTTGGCTTCGAAATTTACAAAAATTATGAAAATCAAAAATCAAATATGATAAATAAAAAAATTGTAAAAATATGATAAATATGATAAATATGATATATGATATATGAAATATGATAAATAAAAAAATTAATTTCAAAAGTATAGATTTAATTAAATTTATTGTGAAAAAAATAAAATTTAGCATTTTTGCTTTCTCTGCTATTTAAATAAAATCTTTCATTTTTTAAATAATTGAAAATAAAAATGAATTAAAATTACAAATTTTTGCAATTTAATTGAAAAATGAATTCAACAAGAATTAATAACTTCTTATTTTTTAAAATGCACTTAAATAGATATTGATATAATTAATAACAAAAATTAGAATACTTTAATTTCTGTAAACTATTGTATTTGTAACTAAATTGTAAGAAATAATATTAATCATTGTACACCTTTACTATAACTTATTATTATACATAAATTAAAAATGATTTATATAAAATAATAAAAGAATTTTAAAGAATTTTAACAACATTGAATTATTGAAAAACAATACAAATAAAATAAAAAGTAATGCTTGTATGAATATTAATAATTTCAATTATTTTTATACATAAATTTGCATTATTAATATTCACCATAAATAGTTTTTAAATAACTTAGAAAAGATAAATAGTGTTTTTCTATTATATTATATTATATATCTTATATGATATTATTAAAATTTTGAATTATAATCTACGTAATATCACTTACGTAATATTTGTATATAAATTTTTTTATAAAAAAATAAATATAAAAATTGAGATATTATCAAATAATCAAAAATCAATAAGATAATTATGGATTAAAATCAAAATTTGATTGTATTTGTAAAAATGTTTATTTTTACAATTTAGTTTTTATGCATTAAAAATGGGTCATATCATAATATTTATATATATTTTATATTATAATAAAATTACTTCCGTTATTTCTCAATAAAATTTATTTTTAAAATTTTTATTTTGAGCTTTTTACAAACTAAATAAAAATAAATAAATAATAGACAAATAATTTAATAAAATATAAACAGTTAACATAAAATTAGTATTACATAAAAGTACAAAAAAATAGTAATATAAAAGCAATAATAAAAAATAATATTTATGTATTGATTATTGTATTAACATAAATTGCACATAAATTGCTAATATGCATATTATTGTACATTAAAAGCAAAATTATATAAAAAGTATATTTTAACATGCAAAATAATTATGCATTAAAAAGAACGCAAATGAATATGATAATGATTAATAATAATATTAATAGTTACACTGAATCAAAAAGTATATTTTTTTTTATAATATGAGACATTTTAAAATGTCTGAAAAAAAACATTTATTAATTAATATATAAATTATAAATTTATTAATTAAAAAATTAAAATAATTAATTGACAATAAACGAAAAATTATTTTTTAGTATTTTGATACAGTGTAATAAATGTTAATAATTAAATTACAAGTGAATATGCAAAATATGTAATATTTAGAGAGAGAAAGAGTTACCTTCTGCCGAGACAGACCCGCACCAAACACAGAGAAACAGACACAGGAAACAAAGAAATGGTGGTTAATTATTATAAAAATATGCTAGAACAAATCTACGAAAGCAACTACATTATATATAGATAAATGTCAATTTTAATTTCTGGAAAAACCATGAATCAAATTCCAAAATTACCACTGAAAAATATTAATTTTATGTAATATATATAATATATTTTAAGAGTGTTAATATTTGAGATACTTTTTGAAGGTTGATTTTAAAAGTCAATACAAAAATTGGTATATAAAAATATCAATTAAGATTTATTTATGAAATTATAAATAATTTAAATTTATATTAAATGAAACGAGTTTATATTACTATTATTATAGATTGAATAAGACGGCGTGTAATGAAGATAGAATTGTTTCGCTATATTTCTATCTTGCTTCATCTAAAGTAAATTTTAATTAATAAATAAGTCTCAATACTGATATTTTTATAAATTAATGTTTGTATTTTTAATATTTAATCTCTAAAATTGATCCTTAAATTGATCTTAAAATTAATCCTCTGAAAAATGTCTCACGAATATATCATCATTTTGTATACATTTTTACTGATTTCTTTATATTTAACCCCTTAACGCTCATGCCCACACATACATAATCATATAGTCAAAATATCAATTTTGCATAAATTTGTAACTATTACGAATATTGTTTACACAAGTCAATTTGAAGATAGCTTATATTCGCCGCTGATATTTATAAATTGCAATTATAAATTTTTCTAAGATATATACAGATATATATTATCTTTTTATTTTATCTTTATATTATCTTATTATTTTATTACTTTTCGTATATGAAATGAATAAACAATAATAAACAATAATAAAGAATTTTTAATCAATTTTTATTATTTATTCTTATTATTTATTTATTAGTATTCAATAATCAGCATGTAATGCACTTTTTTTCTAATATTTTTGATGATTTTGAAATTTTTATTTATTATTGTTTTTATTATTATATCGCTATTACATTTTTATCTTATTATATAAAATTTTATAACATTTTTTATAATAAAATTTAATTATAATTCCATTTCTAAGAAAGTAATCTACAATATTTATATTTCATTAACAATAGTCAAAAATATACAATATTTTTAATTGAATATATTGTAATTATGAATTTTCAATTTCAATTGAATGTAATTTTAAATAAACAGTCTAATAACAAGATCTCTGATATGAAATATATAAATATATTAAGAAACTATATAACTATATAGGAGATTATGTAAAAAAAAATTCATATACTTTTCGATGGCAAATAAATTTAAACGTTAAGAGGTTAAATTAATAAGAATTATCTATTCTTAAAAATAAATGTTTAATTTACTTTTAATCCAAATATTACATATTTAAAGATAATTTTAATATAATTATATTAAATATTATTTTTCCATACATTAAAAATTATTTCCTTTATTAATTTATTTCAATATGCAAATTAATTCGAAAATTCTCTAAATATTATTTTCCAGTATTCAATATGTATATATATATATATATATATATGTATTCATTTAGTTTATAGAAATTCAATTTTAATTAAATTAAATAATATATAATTAATATATAATTAAATTAATTAAATTAATTAAATAATATATAAATAATTATTGTATATATACAGAATTATATATATATCATATAATATAATTATATATATAATTATTATATATATATATATATATATATATAATAAAGTTATATACAATAAATAATAATAAATCAAAAATTTTTAAAAATATATCACAAAAAGTAACATAAAAAATAAAGTAAAATTATTTTTCTACATAATAGTGTTCTAAAAATTTGAAGATTATTTTTATTTCTTTTAATTGAATTTTTTTTTAATTTTCTAATACACTTATATACTAATATATTTTAAATATATATAAGTTCATTTTAATATAGTATTATAGAAAAAGTATTAATATGTAATAATATAATGTAAATAGTGATATAATAAATGAATCATTATAAAAAATTATATAATGAATAAATAATATTATAAAAAAAGATATTTAGAATTTTAAAAAATAAGAAAAGATAACAAATAATTACAAAAGAATTTATTACAATTCTTCCTTAAAATTAAAATTTATACACATATATTTTTTTAAATTTTTGTGATTAATCAGAATCAATTCTATTCTAATATTATAAGTTATTATATATTATATATTAATAAGTCTAATCAATGAAAAATATTTAAATTAGTATTCATTTATTTTTCAATTTTCTATTTAATATTATAAGATATCTATTATTACAATATTATCTATTATTCTAAGAAATCATTATTAACTTTATTTAAAAAAATAAAGATGACTTCAAAATCTTTCAAGCATCATCATATAGAAAAACATATCACCAATAATTATGTACTATGCAGTTCTTTTCATAAAAATTGTATCATTTCATTTTGTATAATATGCAATTGATATATAGGCTTATATTTAATATGATTTTATGAATTTTAAAATTATGATTTTATTTATTTTAGTTTATTAATCTTATTTTACTAATAAAATAATAAATTTATTAACATATCATTGGAAAAAAAGCTTCATACTTTTTATATTTCTAGAGATATTCTAAAAAAATTGTATTGATTGCAAAATCACAAAGAATTAGATTTATAATTTATATAACAATATTGTCTTACAATTAATATCATATTTCAAAAATTATTATATATATAAATTAAAAATAATTATATTTGTTTATATATTACTTTTTTTTTTAGAAAAATTATTTTTTCTAAATAATATTATACTTCTAAAATTAACTCTTTTCTTAAAATTAATTTTATTCAAAAGAGTGAAATATTATTAATTTGTTGAAAGATTAAAAATTTAAATAAAATATAATAATATAAATATAAATATAATAAATATAAATTATATAAATAAAACAAATTTTTATATTTAAATCACATAATATATTTTTATATTTAAATCACATTTTAATACTAATAAGAGAATAGATAAAATATATTATATATATGATTATTTATTATGATTTATAATACATATCAAATTAATAAAAAAAAATTATATTTTAATAAATGATATTTTTTATAAGCATTTCAATTAATCTGCTTTTTATTAAATTTTTTTTATTATTATTTTATATATATCCTTTTATAATATTATAGATTTATGAATTTTTTTTTCCATTACTCTAGTTATTGAAAAAACACTAGTTACAGAAATAATATTGAAAAAAGATATTTACCAGTTTTTTTTCCATTTTAGCTTTAATATCTCGTGCAAGAGTATAAAATGCCTCTTCAACATTAATGCTGGATTTAGCAGATGTTTCCATAAATTTGATTCCATATTCAACAGCAAGTTGCTCTCCTCGTTCTTTTGAAACTTGTCGCTTTTCTGTAAGTTCACACTTATTGCCCAATAACATTTTTTCAACATCTGCTGAGGCATTTTCTTCAATGTTTCTGATCCAATTCTTTATGTTCTCAAAACTTTTTTCATTGGTTACATCATAAACTAACATTATACCCATTGCACCACGATAATATGCTGTAGTTATAGTACGAAACCTTTCTTGTCCTGCTGTATCCCTTAAAAAAAATATAGGACAATTTTATTTATATAAATAATAATAAAATTATACATTATAGAAATATATAAAATATATATTATAGCAAAATATTTAAAAGATTGAAAGTAAAATATTATTATATATAATAAATTAACTTAATTATTTTATTTATCTTCATTAATAAAAAATGATAATTGAAAAAGTATTCATAGAAATGTTGTACATAATTTAAACAGTCTGATATTTTCATAAATTTTTATTTTTATTGTTTAAAATTATTTACTGTTTATAAAATTTAGATGAACATATCTGAATATATCTTTTTATTCTATTTAGAATTATTTTAATAAAAATAGAATAATTCATTTAAAAAAATGTTATTAATATGGAAATTTTAAGAAATATAATCTTATGAAGAAAAATTGTTTAATAAATCTTAATATTTTACATCACTAAATTTTTATTTAAGAAAAATATTATTATTTAAGATATTTAAGATTATTATTTAAATAATCTTTTTATATTAAATAATTTTTTATTATATATCTTTTTTTTTATCATAAAAATTATAAAAATATTTTAAATTTTGATTTTAAGTGATATATTTTTATATCAATATAATTTTATATCAATTCATTCATAAAACTTAATTCTTTTTAAAAAATAAAAATTGTCTAAAATTAACATTATTATTCTTTTATCAAAATTAATTATTTTTTATCACTCTTTTTAAATGAAATGACATATGAATCGTTTATTATTTAAAATATTGTCATCATATATTTAAATCTTAGAAGCTTTTTTTATGTAAGATATTTTTTATTATATATATAAAATTTCTTAACTACATATAAAATATATATATATTTCAAGAAAATTTTATTAATATATAAATAATAAATAATTAATTCTTTAAAAAATAATATCCCAAATTTATTCCAAAAATTTAAGTACCAATAATTATCTAATGTTTATAAACATTTATTATTCCAAAATATATATATATATTTTTATATATGTTAATCTATAATAATGAAACTGTTAATTATCAAATATGATCCAATTTGTATATTATATTATAGCATTATAATATACTAAATATAATATATACTATATTTTATAATAATTTAATATACACATTTATTATATTGATTTTTATTATTATTTAATATTTATAAAATTTAATTTAATTATTTAATACTTACCATATTTGTAGTTTTATTTTCTTGCCATCTAATTCTATGGTTCTTATTTTAAAATCAATTCCTGAAAGCATGAAACAAATATGAAATAGAAATTATTAATAAAAAAAATATATATTTGACAAGTAATTGACAATTAATATTGTAATTTTTTAATTTTTAAAAATTATGCATATAATATTTTAAATATTAATAAACATTAAAAAAATTAAAAGTTAAGCAAATATCTAATTGTAATAAATATAAAAACTATAGTATCTGTTTAATATTTATGTTTTTTAAAAATATTTTTTATTTAATCAAAATTGATTAATTAAAAATATTTTTCATTTAATCAAAATTGATATAAATCAAAATTACAAATATTAAAATTTATTATAAATTATATTTATAAATATTTATAATATATTATGTAATATATTTATAATATTTATAATAATATATTTATAATACATACATATACATTTATATTAAGATAAATTTATTATTTTATACAATTATTAAAATTTATTTTCAAAAAAAGAGAACAAATATACTAAGAATCATATTTAACAGAAAAATATTCTAATAATCTGTTTATAACTTTTTTAACAATATAACCATTCAATTTCATAATACATCCTTTATCTTATTTGTTGATTGGAATTATTTGAATTAATTTAATTATTAAAAATATATTAATTTTTATATATTAAATTATTAAAATTTTCATTTTAAATATATTTATATAACAACATAAAAAAATAACCGTAATAATTATTTGGGTTTTCATGTATTTAAATATTATAAAAATTAAAATATTTATAAATATAATATTAATAACAAATTATAATATTTATAATTTTTATAATATTTAACTATATATATATATAATTTTATTTACATAATTTTATAAAAATATAATAATATATATATATATAATTTTATTTACATAATTTTATAAAAATATAATAATAATTAACTTATTAAATAATTAAATAAATAACAAATTTACATTAATGATAAAATTATAATCAATAAAAAAAATTAAATTTTTTAATTTTTATCTTATATTATATATTTTTATAGTAAATAATATCTAAATGAATATAATAATATATAACATATAATATATAACATATAATATCAAATATTATGATATTTCTAATACATCTTATTTCTCATATATCAGTATCTTTTTCTATTTACTTGATACAATGACATTAGAGATTTAATTAGCAAATAAAAGATATATAAATAAATATTTAATTATATTTAATATATTTATAAAAAAATATATATTATTATTAAAATTTTTATATATTATTTATGACATAATTATAAAATAGTTTTTCATATATTTATTTCATATTTAAATTATAATATTATAAATATTTTATAAAAATATATATTTATTTTTTAATTATAATATAAATTATAAAAAAAATTATGAAAATATATTAAAAATATTTTTTATTTATTTATTTAAAAATTTATAAAGTTTATCATTTGAAAAATCAAAGGATAAATAAAAAAATATTAATATTTAAGCAAAATATTTATTATTAAATATTTAGCAATTGAACTTTTAATAATAATAAGTTAGTGATAAATGAATAGACAAATAAATAAGAATAATGATAAATGATTAAAATATTGTTATTATGTAAATAATTAATAATATTTAAATAATAATATTTAATTTTAACATTTGCATGTGACATTATATGCTTACAAACAAAGAATTAATTATATTAAATGAATAGGAATATGAATAAATAAATTATTATATTGAAAACTATAATATATATGAATATAAATATATGAAAATATAGATAAATGAATATATAGATAAAAATTTATAAAGTTGCACGGATATTTCATAAAATATATAAATAGAGTATTTATATAGAAATATAAATATATTACAAAAATATATATATATATAAAATTGTTAAAGATAGATAATCATGTAAATAAATAAAATTGATTATTAATATAAATTAATTATAAATATTTTTCTAAAAATAAAATTTATTGAATAAGAAAAGGCAATCTATATTACAAATTAAGATATATAAATTATAAACACAAACTAATATGCAAATTACATTATTGAAACATTATAACTATTACTGCAATAGTATTAAATTTATTCAACAAATGATTATTGCACAAGCAATGAACATCTGACTTCTTTTAAAAAAATCTATTCTCAAAAAAATCAAATAATCAAACTTTTAAAATAAAAATTAAGATAAAAATATTTCAAAAATATTCTCTTAATAATTATTCTCTTTCAATTGTATATATAAAATATAATTATATATATAAAATGTATAAAATATAACTTTATACAAATTTTATGAATAATTTATGTACACATATATACACATATAAACATAAAGTAACATTTTAATGAAAAATATTTAATCGTTAAATTCAAGTTTGAAATCTTCATATCAATAAGTGAATAAAAGCACAAAAAAAAGGCAAATCAGTGAAAAAAGAAAAGAAAAAGGATATAATAACTTACCAATGGTCGAGATGAAGGTCGTGTTGAAAGCATCCTCAGAGAACCTGAAGAGGACGCACGTCTTGCCGACCCCTGAATCACCAATCAGCAACAACTTGAACAAATAATCATACGTCTTCGCCATACTCTTTGTTTTCAGTCACTCTTTATTTCACGTAATTTCGTTCGCACTTCTTTTATTCCTTCTTTTATTCTTTTAGCTCTCTATACAATCTTTTCAAGAGATCGTGATCCTTGGAATTCCAATGACGCACCCTTTAAACTTAAAAGAGCACTCTTAGTTCAATATTTTTCTATTACTGTAATAATATTGGATTCACAGAATGCCTAAAGATGAAATTATCATAAGAATCTGTTCGAATAAGACGAAACTCGTGTGATAAAGCACGTAAAAACATCTGTCAGAAAAAGCAATGACAGCCATTGGTAAGTACAACTTTTTCTCTGCTGTTGTGGCCAGCCTTCTGACTGCACTATGCTACTACAGGTGATGCGCGCATGTATATACGCATACGCAACACGTGTGTCGAGAACAAGCTGAATCTTTACGTAAGCAAATATATTATGGCGTATTCATATAGAATCAATAATTTTCCAATAATAAATCAAATTTTGACGAGTAATTGTATTCATTAATCAAATATATAAAAATTTAAAATAATATTTATTTTGAGATTTAAATTTATAATTTATAAAATAAAAAATATATTAAAATTTTACAACATCAATTTTTTTATTTTTCTTTGTATTTATTTTTTTTTAATTTAAATTAATTTACATAATCTAAATATATTAAAAAACATCATATTTTATTTATTTTGTTAAAAAATTATTCATTTTGTTAAAAATGCATGAAATTAGAATATATTTATTTAATTAAATTTTTAATAACATATTTTAATAAAATAAACAAACTTTAACAATAATAAAATGTAAAATCTAAATAGAATGATACATAATATAAATAAAAAGATAAAAAGAATATAACAAAATATAATAATATTTTCAAATTTAAAATAAAAAAAAACTTAACTTAAAAAAAACCTAACTTAAAAAAAAAAAAATTCAAACTTTAAATAAGATAACATTATTAAATAAATAGATTTGAAAAATATTTTAAATATAATTTTAAATATAATGTTTTAAATATGTTTTAAATTTAAATTTTGAGAAAATATAAATGTTTTGATACATGAGATATCCTAGAAATTGATTGATAAAAATTATATCGAAATTAATGATATTTAATGATTTCATCTTGTTTATTTGTGAAAATTTTTATTTCATTTTTATTATACAATATATATTATTAAAAACAAATTCTTAATTTGTTAAAAACACTGACCAATTACAGAACGTGTAGAATTATCGCACCGCGACGGAAATATTGATATAAACAGTGAGACATTAAACGCAAACAATCAAGTCAAGGTAATACGTATCAAAATTATTTTATTCAATGTTCATGAATAAGATATAATTCAATATAACTTTTACCTAATAATTATTCGACATATTTAAATACATTATAAATATATATTTCAATTTATTTACTGAGTCACTAACGACTCAACAAATACATTATAAATATATATTTCAATTTATTTACCGAGTCGCTAACGACTCAACATTATAATGTAACGTGACAAGTCTATATGTTTTATGATTGGCTAATGTTTTTTTATTAATAACTCATTAAGAAAGTCAAAACAAAAATTTTTATAAAAGAAAAAATTGAAATTTAGGAATTATCAATTAAATTATCAGTTAAATTTTACGGTTGACTTTTAGGATACTTTAAAAATTCTTATTTTATTTTTCAATAGAAATAATGATGAATCAATCTTCTGAAAATATTGATATTTTTTTCTATTAATATCTCATATATACAACAGAATCATCAAATTTTTTTACAGATTTATACATATATTCTAAATTCCATTGAGCACATTGCAATTGAGCATTTCTAATTGATATCATTTATTGTTAACATCAATAGTTTACATTAAAAATATTAAAAACCAAGAAAATTTTATATTAAAATTAAATCTATCTAAAAAAAAATATACATCGACATTAATCCAGATAAATATATCCAAATATACAGTCAATCGAATTATCTGCATTTCAAGAATTAAAAAATAATATATTCATATAGTCATAATAATATTTTATATATATAATATAATATTTATATATAATATATAAATTTTTTTAAATATTTTATAGATAATATATTAATCAGTTAACATTGATTAATATTGACATCGATTTTTTTTATATTTCTATATGTAAGAGAAATCTATATATACATATATGTAAATTCATATATATTTATATTATATATATATAATATAATATAATATGAATATTGTCTCTTATTTTATCATAAAGTATAATTCTCCAAATAATTAGCTTAAATTTTTTTTCTATACATCATTTGCCGAGTCAAATAAATGAATCAAATTTCATAGAAATCTCAATATTAGAATTTATATAATGTTATATAAAATATATCAGTAAGTATAAGTCTTATCAATTATTTATTTTTATAAATAATTTATAATAAATTTTATAATAATATATATAATTTTATAATAAAAATGAATTATATTTATTAATTATTTAATTATTTTGTATTATGTTTATGTTTTATATATGTTTATTATTGCATTATTTATAATAATAATTCCATAAATAAATTATTATATGAAAAACTATTATTTCTAAATTATAAATTTGATTTTAATTTCTTTATATTTTTTAATTACATTAATTATTTTTGTTTACATTTTGTTTACATTTGATAAATTTATTAAACTATTATCTATTATGTATCTACAAATTATTTAATTTTATTGACTATTAAGTATATAATTATTATGAAAATAAGAAGTGCAACACTTTAAAAAATGAAGAAAAATATGATAGAAAATATTAATAAGTATCTAGAAAATTCTTGATTGAAAGAGAAATTATTTTATTTAGATTTTATTATTATTACTATTTATAAAAATTAAAAACTGTACATATTTCTATATAACATAATTATAAAAAAATAACATAACATAAATTAAAAAAAAAAACATAGAAAAATTGAATTTAAAAAAACTAAAGTCATAAAAATGTATGAAAATATAAAAATTATTCTGCAAAAGTTTTTTTTAAATAATCATTGAAATAGATGAAATCATTTAAATAATCATTGAAATTGCTAACTTATTAACTTATTAAGTTAACTTATATATTTATAATAATAATTCGTATTATTGAAAATTTCAATATTATTATAAAAAATATTTTCAATAAATAATTTTTATTTATTAAAAAGTAATAAAATTTGTATTAAGATTTACAGATTTTCATTATTCTTTTTCTACAATAATATCAAAGTTCCTAATTATTCACTATAAATCATTTTATAGCAATAATAAATTAAAAAAATAAAATAACTATAGTAAAAGAAATAAATCAAAATATATAATATATATAAATTTATATTAATATATGAAAACTTTAATGTTAAATGAGAAATTATGAAAAGTATTAAACAATCAATTACATATTATTATACATTGAATAGATTGTATATTTTCTTTTATATCTTATTTATAATCTTTTTGAACTTTAATGAAAGATATATATTATAATAAAATAAGAAATAATAAATATATTATAATAAAATAGAAATAATAAATATTTCCGATTCATTGTAAAATTATTATTTTATATATATTTTTCACGTGTGCATTATTTTGTATTTTTTTAATTTATTTATTTATGTACTATTATTAATTGGAAATTACAATAATAATGTAATCATAAGCTAAATCTTTAGTAATCTAATGTAGTTGAAAAATTACAATAATAAAAATTATTTTTTATGTATAATTTAATAATTACTTAAAATATTTTATAATTATTTTGTTATAATGTATTTTTAGTTTTTATAAGATTTTATAAAATAATTATTTTATTTATAAAATAATCATATAAATATCAATTAAATAATCATTTTAAATTAGTTTTTGTAATTTTATATTCTTATTGTATATAAAAACATCTTTATATTTTTTAAAACATTTTAAATTAAAAATCAATTTAAATATAATATATAGACAAAAATATTTCATCTTATTTTTAAAAAAATAATAGAAATAAATAATAATTTTAAAATTATCATCCATAAAAAAAGTATAAAAGATATGTATAGAAGTGCAAATAATAGGAAAAAAAAAGAACAAAACAAAAATTAAAGTCAGATATATAAAATAATACATAAATAGATAGTCATTTAAATATTTCTCTTAGTTATATTATTATATTATTATATTTATTATATTTCTCTATAATAATGTTTTGTCTGAAAAAACGAGATATAATAATTTTTAATACTATTTAAAAAATATGGATCGAATATTTCATTACATAATATAATATACTAAATATATAATCCATGATAGTTTATAATCCATGATTTTTGTCTATCCTATCTTAAAAACTGCAGTTTCCACTATCCAATGGATAGTCTCAGATTTGTTGAATCATAATTAATAAAGATGCCTTGTTAACAATATTTTTTTAAAAAACAATTCATTTGTTTTTTGTGTGGTTTTAAATTCTAGTAATAAAAAGAATTATAGAAATCTTTTCCATAAAGATTTTAATGAGAAAAAAAAATAATATGAATGAAGTTTTACTAAAGTTTTCTTTACAAAATATCCATATTAATAAATTTATGTTATTTTAATTGCTAATTGCATTTTTTTTGCTCAAATTATAAAGCTAATATAAGAAGTTTTACTGTTATTATTTATAATTATTTTCATATTTATTTCGTATATAATAATTTTATATTTGTTGTGTTTCTTTACATTAATATCATTCATGATTTTTGCAATTTTAGCATATATATATATATATATATATTGCAATAGGCAATGCATATAATATTTTATTTTGTATATTTGAATTGCTTCTCTTAAAAGTTTTTTACTATTTTTACTGTAAATAATTACATTAATTTTCAAATAATTCATTATATAATTTATGTACATGCATAAAAAAAGTTATTTAAATAAAAGAATAATAGATTTTTATATTTTGTTGCTATAATATATGATCTTAAAAAAAATAAATTACATTTTAGTTTTGTAAAATGTAAAATGTCAAAATTTATTTCAAATATATTTCAAATTTATATCTATATTGTTTAATGTATTTTAATATCTATCATCTACCATATACAAGAAGAAAAAATAAATTTATGTGATATGTAAAAAAATATTGATGATTTAAAAAATAATCTTGATATAAAAATATTTTTTATAATATTTAACATATTCATAATTTGATATTATATATAAATTATATACAAAATATTTTTTTCTATTATTATAATTAAGAAAGATATTTTAAATGATTATCTTTAAATCATGTACATAATTAATAATTATTAAAGAAAAAAAGAAGCAAATAAAATAAAAGAGATTAAGAAGAAAAATACAAAAACAATGCTTATTAAAATTCTAAATAACAAATAAATTATAAATAATTTTTAAATAATAAATTACAATTATCTATTAATTAAAATAAAAAAAATAAAAAATCTAAAATATATATATTAAAAAGATATTAAGTAATTTAAGTAATACTAAGTAAACTATAATATATATTAATTAATTAAAAAATTATAATACATTTTAAATTAGTTATAAAATTAATTGAAAATTTTCAAAATTTTAATTCAATTGAAAATCTATTGATAAACAAATTTAAGTTATATAGTTTTTGAAAAGAAATATTATTGTTAATTTTTGCTAATTTAAAGTTGTAAATATAAAATATTTTATGATAGTTACAGGAAGACAAATTTCTGTTTGACTATATTAAAAGAATTAATTTATACAACATATAATAACATATATAACATATACATTATATAAATATAATATATACATAACTTATACAAAATAATATAAAATTAAATATAAAATTATATAAAATAAAATATAAAATATTTTATATATTTGATAAATTAATTAAATTAGTATATATATATTATATGTATATATTCATATATTTATGTAAAATGTAGTAATTTTAAATTTTAAATTTGTACAGATTTTTTAAATATTGATAATATCTTTATGAATTTAAATGTTTTGAAATAATAAATCTTAATTATATACTTTTTATTATTTTCTTTTATTGAATGTATAACTTATATTATTGATATACATATTATATATATTAATGCAAATATATAAACTTATAAATTTATATTAATAAAATGAAAAATATTTTTTTATAATTAAATAAAAATTGTAATTATATATTAATTAAAATTTATATTAATCTTAATTTATAATCTTAATCAGATATTTTTTAAACAAACTTTTTTTTTATTATTAATAAATATTAAATATGTATACAATTAAATATTTGAGTGAAATTATTTAAATGAAACATTTTGTATCATTGTACATTTTATATCATTAATAACATATATAAACATATAATGTTAGATTAATATATATAATAAATAAATAACATTTTTATATAATTTTTAATATAATATTAATTATTTTATTAATATTAATAAAATATTAGTAAGATAGTAATTTAATTTTTTAGTAAGATACTTTTTTATAACTTATTATATTTATATACAAAACTTTTATTTCTTTATATACAAACTTTATTTCTTTATATACAAACTTTTTATTTCTCCAATTAAATTAAATGAATATAATCTATAAATGAAAATAAAAAAAAATATTATATGAAAATTTTTTACAAATGCTTTGTTATAAAATTATAAACAAGTATTGAATATAGTCTGAATATATATATAGAAATAAATTAAAAATAACGAAATTATATTATTTTAATTTTCATTTTAAAATGAAATTTCGAATTTTTTAATGTAGAATTTATTATGCTATACATATATTTAAATGATATTTAATAAAGTTAAAAAAGTTATAGACAAATGTTATATAACATTATGATATGTTATATAATATTTAAAGACAATTTTTACATATTATTTTTTTATTTTTATTTATAAATTATGTTTCAATAATTTGGATAAAAATTTTTATATCAAAAAATTCAATTATAATTTGAATTAAATACATATTATAAAAAAAATTATTTTTTTATTAAATTATAATTAATTAAATTTATCATTATAAATACAAATATAATATAAAATATTATATTTGTTGTAAAGGTATAAAAATTAATCAATGTATAATTGTATAATTTATGATATAATATATAATGACTTTTATTATAATATATTATAAATAGCAATATATCAATAACAAATGAATTACTTTTAATCTACATGAAAAATAAAAAATTATAATTTTATTAAAAAATAAAAATATTGATATACTTTTTAAAAATATAATGGCTAAAATAGTAAATATGTAAGAAATAATTTTATATTACTTAGTTTATAAATAATTTATAAACATAAGTATATTTTTTTAATTTATTAATAGTTTTATACATAATATTTTTTAAAAAATTATTTGATAAAACATTTAACAATAAAAAATATTTGTAATACCAGATTTTATTCTCCAGCAATATCAAATACTGATTCATTTTCATCATCTTTAGATAATTCATCATTATTTTCTAAATTAAAATCAATATTATCTTTGGAAATAGTTTCAACGAAATGTTCGGAAATAGTTTCATTAATTTCGTTATTTTCAATAAATTCTTTCTTCTCATCCAAATTTTCACTTTGTTTTGTCTAATAATTATAAATCATTAGTATGTAAAATATTAAAATTCAAGAATTATATATATTAATTTAATAAAAATATTTATTTACTTTATCTAAAATTTCTTTACTTAAGAATCCTTTTGTTACAAACATTACCAAATCAATATTTTCTATATTTGGATTTTCTTTTATATTTGAAGTAGATTCTAATTTGTCAGGTATAGATTCCGTCCTTAATTTATTTATATGTTAATTTAATAACTTTTAATAACTTTATATAAACATATTATATATATGGATTTATATACATATACATATATTTATATATATTTACATATACAAAATAATTTTTTCAATTATTTTAGAAAAGATTAAAAATATAAAATAAAAATTTTTTATAAAGATATATTTTTAAATGCTTTATATTATTATATATTTTGATTTTTATACATTCTAATGCTATAAAATTTATTATTGAAAAATTAATTAATCAGCTTTTGAATAAATTAGAGAAATAAAAATAAACTATCTTTAAAAGTAATTTTATTTAATATTAATTAATTAAATTATAATTATATTTAATATTAATTAATTAATAATTAAAATATATATAATAAAAAATTAGAAAATATAAGTATATTAATAAATATACTAAAAAAACAAAGTACAATCATTAAATAATCATTTAATTAATAATTACTTAAATTGTTCAATAAATGAATATTTACGAAAATTTAATTACTACTTACGATTCAACAACATAATTTTCAAATTTGATTTGTCCTTTAATAAGTATATCTCTCAAAAATAGAAACACTTCAATGCAACTCATTGTTATTAGATCCCAACGACTATAAGGATACTATAAAATATACAATTTAAATTAATTAATGTACGAAATTAATATTTGATATAATTAAAATAAACATATAAATTCTTAATATTATCTATATATTTAAAATTCATAAAATTTTTAAAATAAAATTTTAAAAATTGAATAAGAATTAAATTATTAAAAAATACACTACCTTTAGTAAACATGTTGCATTATATTTTAAATCATAAATAGTTTCAAAAACTGCTCTTATTTTAGATTCTATTAATTTCAAAAAATGTTTCGCAAGATTAATTTTCAATCTTATTTTATGAAGCATTGTTTTTAATGATGCGAGACGAAAATGGATATTGCATTGCTCAGAAATAGTTTTTTCTATCAATATCATATATTCTCTTTGTTTCGCATCCTCAGGAATAGGAATATGTGATAAGTTTTTTTTTGCATTTTCTAATTTTTTTTTTATATATTCTAATATTATATTTTGTATTTTTGAAATTTTTATATTATCTTTTATAAACATAGATTGTGTACCCAATTTTTCCTTATAATTAATTTGTGATTTTCTACACAACAACAAAAACATAAACAAGAAGAAAGAGATATAAACATCTATAAATTAATTGATATAAGAAATTTATTAAAATTATATTGAAATTATATTATAAATATGTAGATAGATTACTTTTAATAATAAAATCTAAGAAATATAATATAATGTAATACAGAAAAATAATATACAGTTATAAATATGGGAAATATCATTTACTAATCTTTTTGATTAAACAAAAAAGCATAAATAATTTTTATGAATAAATCAAATAAATATACTATTAATATTATATAATATTATAATATTACTGTTAATTAGTAAAAACTATTATTATTAATTAATAAATAAAAAATTTGCTAAATAATAAATATGTTTAATATCATTTAATAAATTGTTTCTATAAATTAATTATTAATAAAAAATTTCAAATGCAAATATATAAAAAAAGAAAATATTTTAAATTACATATTCAATGTAAAATGATAAAATTTAACTTATACTTTAAATAAAGTTCAGTATCCATTTTTGATGAAATATTCTCAGAAATTTGTAGTAATTCATGTTTTAACATAATATTTTCTCTCATCAATCTTTGATTTGGTAAATTTATATGTTTATTAACTTGCATTTGAAATTGTGCTGCCAAATCAAGAAGACAATCGTACATTTCATTTTTAAGCCTAAATTGAAGAAATTTTATAAATCATTTTTTTACAACAATTTTTTTCAGTAATTATACATTATAAAAAAAGTAGCTTTAATCTTAATTTTGATATTATTAAGGATATCATCTTGATTATTTATATTTATATATATACACATTGTGGCGATTGTTACTCAAATGTATAAAAAATAAATTAATATTATATCAGTTAATATTTATGCATAGAAAATATTAGAAATTGTGAAAATATAAAACAACTTTTATCATTATAATTTTCATTTATTATACATTTTGAATATCAGTCATTGTAATATGTTTGTAGAAACAGATAAATTTAAAAATTGATACACATATTATTCCAGATGCACATATATATACAAAATTCAATATAATAATTACCATTTAGAAATATTTCAAAAATCAACAGATTATGATGAAAAGTTATTTATTATGAAATGATATCTTAATTGCATATACTATACTAAGATCAAGATGATAAGCTATTTTTTCTTATAATGCATAATTACCTTTTTTCTTTTATTTTTTTAATTCATGATAAAATAAATAAAATCAATTTTTGATAATATATAAATTGAATAAAATTTTTATACATTTCTTTATCAAATTCAATTTTTCGATTAACAATTTCTATAGTTTCTTTTACTTTCTTTTCATTTTTTACCATTTGTTCCTCATTCTCTTCAAGTTTTTCTTGTAATACATTTTGCACTCTTTTAAAATCTTGCAAAACATTAATTTCCGCATCTGAAAAAATTTTTTTTTTATGATAACGATAGTTTGACAATATAAAAAATCAAAAAATGAAATAAATAAATGATAAAAATAATAAAGGAATAAAATAATGAAAAATAAAATATATTTAAGTTACTTAGAACTTTGGCTTGAGAAATTAATTCAAATTTCGTTTTTTTATAATTTTGATTAAATAATTCCTTTTTCTCTTCATATAATCGTTGATTTTCTATTCTATCATTTTCTATAGTATTGATTTTATTTTTTAAACTTTCTACCAAACTATTTTGTGTTAAAAATTGCTTATTTAAACTTGTAATTTCTTCAATTGTTTCTGTATCTATTGTAGCTGAAAGTTCATTTGTAGTTTCGATTTCCTCTAGCAATTCCTCATTTCTTTCATCTAACCTAAATATTAACTTTAATTATAATCTTCAATGTTATCAAAAAATTTATATTTTTCTTATATTAATATTAAACACAAAACAATATAGCAAAATACAAAATTTATTTATTAATAATAAAATTCAATTTCATTTTGTTTATTTTACCTGTTTATTCTAGATTCAATATCTGCGATTTTAATAGTATAAAAAGTTTTTTGCATATTAATAATTGTTGGTTTCTTTTCATCATCTTCATATGATTGTAATTTTGTTGGTAATGAAATATTTCCTTTATCCTTCCCGTGTAAATCCACCATTTTTTCGTATTTTTTTTTATGAATATAATATACTTAAAAAATAAAATACACCTATATAAATAAATATAAAAAGAAAAATTAATAATGAATATAGATTTGTAAGTATTTATTACAACTATTTGTGTGAATATTATTACAATTAAACTATATTATATCAAATTTTAACAATTTGCTATCAAATACTGCATTATTCCGTTACAAAATTCAGTATTATCTTAAATTTTATAATATTATTATATAGTCATTTCAAAAATTAAATTTTATGGTATAAATATTCACTTATAATATTAATATTAATATTAATATGCAATATTAATATGATTATTATCAATAATTATGAATAATTTTATTATATTTATATAATTTTATTATTTAAATTGTTTCATAATTTTAAATGTGTAATATACATACATATATTACTTGATAAATCTATTTGTATAAATAGTGTTTATTATGGAAAATTCATTTTGATCAAAAGGAATCTAAACATCATTTAGGTAATTAAATTTCTTAGAATGCATAAAATTATATATTTTTAATTAAACATTTTTTTTTAAATAAATTTGAAAAGAAAATATCCAAAAGTTTTTTCTAATCATGCTTTTTAAAATAAATATATCAATAATACTGATAATAAATTAATACATTCTGTTTAAATAGTTTAAATGTTAAATAAATTAATTTTATATTTTATATTTTTTAATTTTTTTACTTTTTATGATTTATAAGATTTATTAATTTATTATGTACATAATAATTAATGTATAATGTATAGTGTATAATTATGTATAATTATGTAATAATATAATAAAAAATATATTTATTTCGAAAAGAAATAAAAATTATGATAATTATTTATTAATTAAAAATAACAATTAATAATTATTAACAATAATATTTATTTTAATTTTAGCTCAGTGAAATATATAATTTTATTTTTTTTTTTCATTTTTTTAACATATAGTAAATATAAATACTTATTATATAGTTTATTAAATTTTTAATATTAAATCATGTTTATTTGCAGGTTATGTTATTATTGGAATATATATATATATATATATATATATATATATATATTTGATAAATGATAAATTGTTATTTAATATCAAATATATGTTTTTTATTTTATTTTAGTTTTAAATTTTTATCTATTAAATTTCTGAAGTAACTAATATTTATACAATTTGGAGCTAACTTCAGTTATTTAATACAAAGCAATGTAATAATACGCAAAATTTTTTAAAGGAGTTATTAAACAGCTGAATAGAAATTATTAAATATATAACATATTTTTGAGATCAATGATATAATAATTGTAAAGCATTACTTATTTAATATGAAAAAATATTTTTAAATATTTTTTACTCATAAATATTAATTTGTGTAATAACCGAAGATGTGCATTGTCGTGTTTCAATGACGTAACTTTATTTTTATGTCATCAAAAATCGTATTCTTCAAACAGATTTTTTAAAATGTATTCAAGAATATCTTTATCAAGCTGTTCAAATTAAAAGTAAGAATCTAAAATAATTATTTCGACGTAATTTATTTTTTTTTATATATATTCATAATATTCATTGAAATTTAGGTTACAATACAAAACAAATGTTACAACACAAAAATCTTTTATATCAAATATTGTTGAATATTAAGAATGACGTATTTTTAAAACTGATTTTTATATTTACGATAATATATTCATAGAATAAAAATTTTATTTTATAATTATAAAGCAATAGTAATAGATTTAAAATAAAACTTATTATCCAAACATTTTTATTATATATATTTCTTTTATTAAAAATAACTTATTAATGATTTAATATTATATAATTTGGTCATATATAATATGTTAATAGAAAACTGTATAATTTAAATATATAATTTAAAAATGAAATAATAAAATAATAAATAAAATATTAATTATTTCTTATCAATCATCTTTTATAAATTTTAAATATTTTAATATTTTTTTTTATTTCATATAATTATAAGAGGTATATCTTATAAATGAATAAATATTAAAAATGAAATATATTAATATTTAACTATTTATTTTATATTTGAATATATTAGTTATATTATAATTATTGAAAAAAGAAAAATAATTATATATTTATATGTATTAATAAGCTATTTATTTAAATTAAATTTTATTTTTTATTATATTTTTATTATAAATACATTTATATATATATATATATATATATATAATAAAATTATAAACTTATTTATATTTTTATAATTTTTACAAGAATGAAACGAAAATTGGAAGTCTTCTATTCTCTTCTAAAATATGATACATAAGAAAAATGAGGAAAATGAGGATCAAATATTTTTTTATATTTGTAAATCTGAAAAAAAAAGTTCTTTTAAAATTGTATTTTAGACTTTTTAAAATAGTATAAACTTAATAATTATTAAATATAATATAGTATTTTTTATCAATTTTTTTTTATTTTTGATTATTTGTGACAAATTATTAAGAATATTTATTAAGAATTAATTACATTATTTAAACTTTCTTTTGTTTTTTTTTTCAAATATATTCTTTAATTTTTGTAATATTAATTTCTAGCTTTTTCGAACTTCTTTCTTTAACTTCTATTATAATTGTTCTATTATAATTGTTTTTATCAAAATATAAAATTAGGTTTTTGTTAAGATTAATATTAGGATAGAAGAATAAAGAATTGGGAGAACTATTTTTTAGCAGAAGAATTCTTATTAATCTAATAAAAATGAGATTTGAAAAATCGATTTATAAAATTGATTTATTATCATGATTAATTTTAAATTTTAATTTCAACACTATTAAAAACTTATGTTTTATATTCTTATAAAAAAAGCTTATAATCAGAAGAAAACAAAAATTAATAACAATTTTAAAAATTAAAGAATGAATAGAACATAAATTTGAACAAAAATAATAGAAGAAAGTCTAACTAATATAATTAATATTCTTGGTAATTATTGGTCACAAATAATTAAAAATAAAAATTGATTAAATAAATATAAGAATATTAAAATTACATATTGAATTCATATTTATTAATAATTTAAAATATAAGTTTAAAAGAACATTTTCTTTTTTCAGTTTTATAAAAAAAATAATTTTTTTTGATTTCTTATTTTACATTATTACATTATGAAAAGATGTAATACTTTTTCAAAATTTGTTTCATTTTTGTAAAAATTATTAAAATATGGATAAGTTTATAGTTACAACATTGTATTTTGTTTGTATATAGAATGTTAATATATTCATGGATATTTTTAGAGAATTTATTCTAGAAATTAAAACAAACAAAAATTGATATAAAAAAGTTTGCTTTCAATCTATTTATTAAATTATTAACAATTCAAATTTGTGTTAGATATTTAAATATTAATTTATAAATAATTCTAATTTAAGTAAATAAATAATTAATTGTAATTGTAATTATGTATAAAGAAAATTGAATAGTTTTAAATGAGACATAATATAATCTAAATTTTTCTGCAAATATATAAAACTCTATTAAATATTTCATATAAATATATCTTTTTAAATCAAATTATTTTTTTATATTAATTAATTAATATTAATTAAAATAAAAATATAATTTATCTTTTTTTTTTTAGAAAAATCATTAGTTTAGAAGATATCTTAATCTTAATATAATGTAAAGTAATATAAGTAATTATAATATGTATGTATGTATGTATTATATATGTATATATGTATATATGTATGTATTATATAAAGTAATAATAGTTTGAAATTAAATTAAATCTGTTAAATCTAGATGTAATAATCCGATGTAAGTAATTAATTAGATTTTATGTTCAATAGAATGAGCAATATTTTTTGGTAGATTAGTAATTAATATGATTGTTTATGATTTATTTTTGGAAAATGTGAATAATTATTATTAAATCATCAAAATTTTAAAGAAATATCCATATTATTATATTAGAATATATCCATATTATTAATTTTGCAATATTAAAATTAAAATATTAATCAATGAATAATGTTCTAAATCAATGACTTTTCATTATAATAGTTTACAATATAGTTTAATATTTTTTTTAAGAAGTAATAAATTATATTGTTTGGAATAGTATATATGGAATAGAATTATAATTCAACTAGAGAAAATATATGTCACTTTCATGAGCTTTAGATATCCTTCTGCAGAAAAACTGACATTAGATTATATTCTCTTTAATACTATTTAATATTTGAATTATTTTTTTATATAGAGAATAGTTTAATAATTTTTACTTTATACTTCTTTTTATTTTTGTTTATACTATTATATATATTTATATTTTTTATTTTAGATTACTTATTATATAAATATAAATATAAAGATATAAAATTATGTAATGAAGTATAAAATTTGTTTTTTTTTTTTAATTCTTATACTACAAAACTATTATGATATAATAATTTAATTGATTAATTAAAATATTATGATTTTAAAGAAATAATTATTTTTTCTTTATTTATATCAAGATCAGCTGATTAAAAAAAATACAATCAAAATATAAATTGAAAAATGAAGTTACGAAAAGAGTTAATTTTACTTTTACTGGTAATGTCTGTTACTTCGGAATCAGTCATTTCCAAAAAACGATCTGATACTTCTGAAGAAGAAACAGAAGAAGATGTTAGTTTAGAAGAAAATGCATTTGAACATTTGCAAGAATTAAAAGCTTTACATGATACAATTCTGAAGATTGTACCAGCTTCTGAACCATATCTCAATGATAAAATCACAAAACAAAAAGAGAAGACAGAAAATGAACCAAAAACAAAGGATGAAAATCCTGTAATGAAGAATGTTTGGATGAAAGCAATGATAGCTCAAACTAAAAATATAGATTTACCAAATAATAATTTAAGAATTGAAGAAGAAGATAATGAAGTATGGAATGATGAAGAGCAACTTGAAACATTTAATGAAGAAACTCAGGAACCACTTACTCCAGAACAACAAGAAGGTATTTAAATTAAAATTTATTAAAATGATTTTATAATTAATTTATATTGAGTTAGAATTTGTTATTAGAATAAATTTAAGATTAGCCATTATTAAAATAAATTCTTATTTAAATAATTATTAAAATGAAATTATTATTTATATAATAATGTAAGATAAATTAATAAGATAAATTATT